TAAATTAGATGCCCCAGCCTTCGATGCAACTTGATACTCATTTTAGACGACATTGAAATTTCTCTCTGCCGTAGCTCTGTTCTTTACCGACATAGAGAAATGAACGGCGAACAATCAAGTCATAAACCTCCATCTTGATGAATATACAGATTAAAAGGAGACAATTTTTTTTAGCACATTACTTGGTCAATAGCATGGGGGCTTACCCAACTGGCTACATTGATTCTGCTGAATATGTAATCAGAGAGGTTCTTTTCGAGTAGACATCATTTCTATATATCTTCCATCCCGACCGATCTGAATTCAACCAAAAAAAAAAAAAAAAAAAATAGAATAGAATAAATTAAAAAACTTCAGTCCATCCGAGAAACGGTGTTCCATCCACAGTGGAAGCTTCTGACCATCAACTCAGTGAAACAACCCTTCTTAGAGAATATCACCAATATATCTAGCAACTCAACTATGCAAGCTAAGCTATGAGTATTTCGATCTCCCCCTCACAAGATTAGCAAAGGCCCCAGCAATTATAGACATCTGAAACCTGCTAGCGTCAGATAAGTGGGAATCTCCAAGATCCACAAGTCAAGTGGGCCGTAGACATTCTGGGAATTTGCATCAAAACCCACAGACTCGATACTTCCTGTAGCAGGTCGAGATGCAATGCGCGCCATGCGTTCACTTGTAACATAAATCCTCCAGCGGAGATATTGCAGCTTGTATCACTCATAGAAGAGTGGCAGCTTACTACATAGTAGAAACCTTAAGCACATGGCAGAAAGCGTCACCCGGACAGAATAAGCTCACTAGCCCACATGCAAAAGTATGGTTTACTCCACCGGAGGGGGGATCGCGGATGTGGTGTGTGCGACCCGGTCCATGGCCTGGAGCAGGAGCAGCCTATGAAGAGCTTTGAGTTGATTATTCATTGCCATTGTCGTGAGGTATTAAACAACGAGATTCTGTTTAGTGATAAATAATAAAGTCATAAAAGGAGTCAGCATCGTTCGATCTGTGCCAATGAACCTCGTAATCGCGGAGTGCGAGATTGGAAAACCTCGATCTCGGCTAGCCCACCAAGTGCAAGCTAGCCTCTCGCAGGCTGACGTACTCCCTCTTTCGCCTTACCACTGTGGACAGTGGGACTTCAAATAGTTTTAATAACATTTTGACATTCCAGGATAAATCACCGCTGATCACTGAATCGGCTCCATAAGGACAGCTGACGCATCCTATTCCATCTCCTCGTGCACATGAGTAGTAACTGGGCGTGGGCCGAAGCAGCATGGATGATCGGAGAAATAAACGAACACTGTGTGGATTTGGCCGAAGCGATAGTCTGTTCTACCGGTCAAGGTGCGAATTGTGACGGAAATGGGCAGCTGAATGAGACCCCTTTAGCTGTGCGAGGGTCTCGACATTGTGCTGGATACCCATGCCGCGGTTGCTCTGATCATTGCCGAGCTGTTTCCCCCACACATTCGCTTGCCTCGCTCGGTACATCCTGAGCATGCTCTCCAGCATAACCAGCTGATCAGCCTTTCTGAATGACTATCTCCGTAGTCTTCCTTATAAACTGGTCATCGTGACCGTCCGATTGCGACCATCCACGATCTCCACTCTCCTGCGATGACCCGGCCGATTTGGTCACGCTTCGGCCCATCCCACCCATCTCAATGATGTTCTCCTCGCTCTCCGACGGTGACAGTATCTCCGTACGAACCGTGCGGGATTCGTAAATGCTCGCAAAATGTCGAGTGGAACGCGTGCCGTTGCCCGGCCTGGAACGGGTCTCGTTGGTATGAGGATTTGTTGTCCCGTATCTCGGGTCGTTGTAATTGCCCTGGCCGACATAATTGCTCGACTTGAGGAAGGAGATCGTTGATCTCGCCAGAGACCACACAAAAGGCAGGTTCGTGACGTACATGCCGATGGAGGCCTCTCGCAGGTACCAGAACTGATAGCTGGTGTCGTAGATATCCCGAAAGGTGAAATATTTGGAAGTGATAGCACAAGCAAGCTGGACACAAGTCAGAGAATCAGTCAAAGGTTTGCCGGGCGATGTAAGGTTCAAGTCGGACGTACCACCACGATGCCCATTGAGAAGACAACGATGACCGGCAGCTTGGTCTTCCACGCCATCTGCGCGCGGGCAAACATCGGGAGCATGACACAGAGAATTGCAACGTCAGAGCTAATATTCATAGCCGCTTGCACAGCCTCGTAGATACGATAAGTCGAGCAGATTTCATTCGGAGGAGGTAGGGTCCAGTAGCCGGACAAGTAAGGCCTGCACTCGAGGAATAGTACCAGCTCTGAACTGATCCATCCGCACAACGTATATATAGCACAAATCGTCACCACGCGATTTTGCCATAGATTTTTTCTGTGGTTATCCCTGTCAGGCACACACTCTGGCTCGAAGTCGATGGAAATCTAACTTACGTGAGTCGGAAGTAGACCATCAGCATACATGCCTTCAGTAAATAGATCGTGCAGAGCTGGCACTGGATCATGGTTGCGTTAGGTCTCACTTTGCAAATGTACCATGGTGGAAGACTGTACCATACATTTTCCGAAGCGAACTCGATCTTGGATCCTTTGACCCTTGCAGCGATCTCGGCGGCGGTGAAGGTTTCATATTCTCCAGGCTTGTATAAATTGCTTCCTCCTCCCTCCGCAATCTTGATGTTGGTGACGGCAAATGCTGTATAGAAAGCCTAGTCGGAACAATGACTTAGCGTCGGGCCATAAGGTCAAGCCCGTCAGTCTGCAAGCAAACTTACCACCGCCGCAAACATAAGGTAATCTTCGACCTGAAACACCCATCGCATTCTGAGCCATCGCCCATATCTGTAAGACAAGTTAGCAATTAACAACCAGAAATACCGAGTCAGCATCTGATACATACAATCGCACGACAAACAACAGCATTGCGATGCTGTACATTACCCAGGTGGTGACCACCAGATCATGCGCAGAGCCACCGCCATCACTGGCCATTATCACAAGGAGGGCTTTATGAGGATAGCATAGTCAGGTACTCAATTCAATATGGGAGAAATGCTAGGCAGTAACTTCTTATGAAAAGGGAGACAGAGGCGCAACAAGTCTAGAGGGATATAAGGTGCTTACAAAAGTTCGACCCACTTCAGACTGAAGAATTGGCTGGCCGCTGCAGGATTGCAATTTATTTAGTACATCCTTCATCCCCTCTTCTGGCAAGTCGCATGGCATGTACGGCCGGAGTGGTGGCGAATCAGCGTCGATGAGCGTGTAGGTAGCCCTCCCTGGCCGACTGCCGACTGGATCTAATTTTGCTGAACATCAATTTCTGACACGGTGGGCTGTCGTTGCCAGCCTTGAGCGCAGGTGCCCCCTGAATCAGCAACAGACCTGGCGGGACCGTATATGGAATTTGCACATCAGGCACGCTGGTGGAGGAGACTGACTAACAATGACATGCATGCTGACACGCACAAATTATGCAGCATTCCAGCTGTTCGATGCATTAGAACCCATGTTTTATGTAGGGTCGACTGATAATCCATCATCGTGTTACCTAAGAGGTCGGGGTTCTCCGTACCCAGACCCCAAGATCCACCAGGCTACTGGCCAAGTCAGGACTCAGGAGATGAATCGTGACGATCCGATCACTATTTCCTAGAAGCACCGCGGTGCAGGTCTATACCCACGGCAAGTCCTTCGTTAAGGGCTGCATGTCGTGATAGGCTCATTGAATGTGGGCTGCAATACGTGGTGGCCTGTCCATTGTTCTCCGCCGACGTCCACGAGTCATGATGGGAGAAGTGGGAGAACGGGCGACCTTGAGTGGGATTCATTTGGACGTAAATTGAGTAGCTGCGTGTTCCTCCTCCTCCACCACAACGTGGAACGGCAAGCATAAGATTGCAGGTAGCCGGCTAAACTTTTGAGAGGCTAGAAACTGATTGGAAGTCTTGTGGCAAGTCGCAGTTCGTAGTTCTTTTCTTCCAGGCCCCGCAAGTGGCCGACTAGGACTGTAGTCGATTCGAAATAGCTGTAGCCTGGGCTCTGCCACCGTGTACTGCTTCGGCATGGTATCTGCGACGCGAATGATAGGTGGGGAACCTCCTGTCTCAAGGTTGAGTTGGTCCGGGTATCGATGCGGATTGTCGGTCTAGAGTCAACTTCGACTAATGCAATGGGGAAAGGTGCGATGGAGTATGATTTTTAGCATACGACTAGTCTGCCAACGTGGAGATAACTTTTGACCGTGGCAATGAACGGACTGGAGCGAAAGGCCAATGATGGCCAAGGAGAGGTAGAGGGCAAGGAGAGGACAGAGAGCGACTGGAGCAGACGGAGCAGACGGAAGGGCGGGTAAACCTCCCGGTCAAGCGGGGCACGTGCTGGCTCCATACATGCTGAGGTATTGTACGTACATGCAGTACAGTACAGTACTGTACATTTGTGTCATTCCACCAAGAGGACAGTCACTCTCAGGCCACAAATGCGACTTGAGTTAGTTCTAATCTCAACAAATCTGGCAGCAGCTGCTATTGGAACGACATCGGCGGCACCACTGCAGACTACTCCGTACTTCGACTACCTACCGGCCTCATGGCCCAGCTTGGTCTTAGCGTCCCTCTTCGCGTCTGAACTAAATCGCACCTGCAGCAGAGCAGAAGAAAAGAACAATTGCACCCCTGCTCACGCCGCACCCGTGCTATGAAGAACTTCTGGAACGGGAATAAGCTAGAAGACCGGGCAGCCTGACAGGGCTAGTAAAGGAGGTTAAAGCACGAGGCGTCGATGCCTGCAGGGAGCAGATGGCAGATGGCACGCAGCATCCATGGGTCAGCAACGGGAGGCCGAAGTTAAGTTGGTTGTTAGCCCATTTCGCTAAGCATTGCTAAGCCCACCTAAGCATTGAGTGGCGGCTTGTCCCGGACTCCCGGCCGACAAAAAGTTCTGGGCGGAAAAGAAGAAAAAAAAATGCAAGAAAAAATCCAGACTGCCAAGATGATAAATTAGTTCTGACAATCTTGTTGAACTTAACCGGCTTGGCGATGAAAAAGGAAGACTATGTCCGTCGCTACATTGATTAGAGGATTGGCTGATAACTCATTAGCTCTATAAGCAGGGTATCATATCCCTCTCCAACTCCTCCGTACCTTTTTCTTCTCGTGTTCCTTCTCCCGTCATGCAGGCTGGGCCAGCTCAACTCTCGACCTAATCTTCTTATCTACTGCCGTTGCTCTCTCGGGATTCGCCGCTACCTCCCTGTTCGAGAGGAACAACTCACGGCTTCTGCCAATTTTCCCAGCCCCAAGCAGTCTGAACTCAGCATGGCCGCTTCCATGCAGGACGAAGAGAAGGCCATGAGAGCTTCGCTCTCTGCCTCCTCCGACTCAGGAGAGGCCAACATGTTTTCGAGGTTCACTCACAAGCTACTTGAGAAGCGAGGTATCGAGAGAGTGCCTGAGACGGAACGGCATAGTTCCGTGACCACAGCCGACTATCTCAAAATGGGCGTTCTGTGGTTCTCGACCAGTATCACGGCCAACAACGTCGCCGTCGGTATGTACGGCCCGTTGGGATATTCGCTGAGCTTTGTGGACTCTGCCCTCTGTGCCACCTTTGGCTCTTTCTTGGGGGCTGCTGGAGTGGCATACATGGCGACCTTTGGACCGCTAAGTGGCAATCGGACGATGGTCAGTGATGATGACCTATAGCACATCGATGAAAACGCTGACAGGTGGCGTTCCAGGTCGTGGCGAGATATTTCATGGGCTATTATCCCAGCAAGATCGCCTGTCTGTTGAACATCATTATTATGCTTGGTTATGGAATGATCGACTGTTTGGTTGGTGGTCAGATCGTGAGTTGGCCCCTCCTACTGGCAGCATCCTAGAGCGATTGCTAAAATCATGAAAGTTGGCTGCGGTGGCCGACGGGAAGATGACTGTTGTCGTTGGTATCATCATTGTCGCCATCATCACCTGGCTGGTCGTCGTATTCGGTATGAAGCCATTCCACGCCTATGAAAGGTAAGCCAGCCATCCTATGTTCCCCATTCCCCCAAAGTCCCGGGAGTATACTGACCATCCCAGATGGGCCTGGGCGCCACAACTCGTCGCCATGTTCGTGCTCGTCGGCTGCGCCGGCCCCAAATTCGACACCTCCATCGTGTCCAGCGGCAACACGGCGACCCTGAGCGCGGACCGCCTGACCTTCTTCTCACTGTGCCTCTCGAGCTCCGTCGCGTGGGCTCCCGCGGGCGCCGACTTCTTCGTCTACTTCCCACCGACCACCTCCAAATGGAAGACCTTCGTGTCCGTTCTCTTCGGCCTGGGCCTGTCCCTAACCTTCGCGAACCTGATGGGCGTGGGCCTAGCCTCGGGCACCCTGACGAACCCGGCGTGGGCCGACGCCTACGACACGTCCTCGGGGGCACTGATCCTGGCCGGCTACGACGGGCTCGGCGGGTTCGGCAAGTTCCTGGGGGTGATCATCGCGCTGGGCCTGATCTCCAACAACATCCCCGGCACGTACTCGGCCACGCTGGGCTTCCAGATCATGGGGCGGCACCTGGCGCGGCTGCCGCGCTGGACCCTCGCCTGCGTCAGCACGATCATCTACACCGCGTGCGCCCTGGGCGGCCGCAACCACCTCTACGACATCTTCGAGAACTTCCTCGCCCTCATGGGCTACTGGGTCACCATCTATTTGACGATTGCACTCGAGGAGCATTTGATCTTCCGCCGGACCCGCGGCTTCGACTGGGACGCCTGGGCCGACCGCGCCAAGCTGCCCCTCGGCCTCGCGGCGCTGGCCGCCTTCCTCATCGGCTGGGCCGGCGCCATCGTCTGCATGGACCAGATCTGGTATGTCGGCCCCATCGCCAAGATGGTGGGCGCCGACGGCGCCGATCTGGGCATCTGGGTCGGGTGCTCGTGGGCCATGCTCGTCTACCCGCCGCTGCGGTACTTGGAACTGAAGAAGTTTGACCGGTGAGGCGGTCGAATTGAGGCAGTAGTTCAAGAGGTTTTGTGATCTGGTTTTTTTGTTATGTGCCGGTTGATTATTGGAAGTGAAGAAAAGGGAAGGGGAAGGTCCCCTGTTGGACCTTCTGGGCTATGTCAAGCGAAGGCGTGGGGGGAGCATTTGACCTCCCAGGCAGGGCTGGGTCCCTGACATCTACGGCTGTGCATGTGTTATGGAGTTATGTATCGCAACATGTTATTAAAATGCCTAAGTAATGTTTGAAAGAAGGATAATTTCAACGATAGATGAGTTGCACCCGCTGTTGAATCTGAATATGTGCTTGGTCCATTAATAAAGTACACATTACCAACACCATAAGAAATTCAAGTGATATCGTGACCGAAGGGCATAGACAGATCGCCGACAAAAGTCGCCCGATCAAGCCTTATGTTCGAATCAGATCTCGCAAACCACAAGGTCAATTGATCCGCTGCCTCCGCCACGTTAGAAAGACGACGTAGAACTTCTCCTCCGTCGCCGGATCAAAATCCCTATTGCTCTTCGGCTCACTCTGCTCAGCAGGAGCATCCCCCTCGCCTTTTTGTGACTGACTCGCTGCGACAGCAGCAGCAGCAGCGGTCTTGAACTCCTGTTCCGCATCAAACGGCACCAGCCTCGGCGGCGGCCTGACCGCAGCAGCATCACCAGCATCACCTCCTTGTGGCCCATTCCCGCCCCTGCCCGCAGCCCCCATGACCACATCTCGCAGGATCTCCTCCTTGGCCCCGATCCACGTATACGCGCGCCGCGACCCTTCCTCCGCGACCAGAAACACCTTCTCCCCGTTTTCCTCCTCGTCAACGACCACCGGAAACCGCCAGTCCCGCGCCATCTGCACAATCGCATCCAACTGGTCCCTCTTCCGCATCACCGTCTCAAACTCAATGACCAACTCCTCCAAGCTGGGCAACAGCTTGAACTGATTCCCCCAGACCCTGCCCTCCTCCCAGGCCGTCAACGGCCGCTGCGGCTGCTGCTGCTGCCCGCGAACACCCATCTCCATCTCCTCCGCCTTCGTCCTCCCCGGCCGGAACGGATCGATCCCCAACGGCTCATTATGCTCCCAGAACCACCAATCCGTATGCCTGAGCGTGATGGTCAAGCGCTTCGGGGCCAGGACGCCGACATCCGAGGTCTCGTCGGGTTCCAGCCCCAATGATGATGGTAACGCTGGACCGGCGCGTCGTTTGCTCCCCCGGCCTTCCACCCCGTTCACCTGATTGCGATCGCCAGGGTGATTGTCGCCCCCGCCCCCCTCGCCAGTGTTCGCGTTCGCCTCCTCCAGCTTCCGCTTCCCCTTGCGCATCTGCGCCTGCCAGGCCTCGTTCTCCCGGACGGACGCCCAGACCTGCGCCCACGAGTCCTCGAGGAAGTACTGCTGGGTGAAGAAGTGGAGCTCCTGCACGGCGCCGCGCTGCTTGGGCGTCATGCGCGCGAAGTAGTCGGCCGGGGAGGCGGCGTGGCGGACGTGCGGCGGCGGCCGGTGGCACCAGAAGGTGTGCCGGTTGATGGCCGGCGGGAGGAGTGAGGCCTCGCCGTAGATCTGCTGGCAGGTTTGCAGGAGGGCGGTCGAGATGCGTTTCGGGGCCTTGAAGCCCGGGCGGTAGTAGAGGGCTTGCTGGGCGTAGGTGGTTGATGATGCAGTTTCTGAAGAGGAGGAGGAGGACGACGACGACGACGACTCGAGGGTGTAGTAGTAGATTCTGTTGCGGATCTCGGCCGGGATGTGCGTGAATAGTGGGCAGGCGGTTTGCTGGATGGCGGGGAGGGAGGGACTCAGGTCCTGCGGGATCTGGTAGGAGGAGGGCGAGAGGCGGCGCGGGGGCATGGGGCCGCAGCGGGGGTTGCCGCGGCGGCGGCGCGGGCGTCGTTGCGCGGGGGGCAGGCTGTTCATTTTTCTGTTGTGTTCTGTTCTGGGGGATATATGTAGCTAGCGATTAGGCTGCTGTGAGACTGAGAATAATGGGAATATAAGAAGTGCTCTGGGAGAAGGATGTTGGATGTTGGATGTTGGGTGCTTCCAGACGGGGTCTAAATAACCCCGCAAATCTACAAGGATGGTTGCTTAGTTCCAGGTTGCCGTCAGACTAAGTGTTTCTGCCTGGTTGACGGGGCACAGAAGGCTTGTGGCAGATGAGTCATATCACTCAGACTTCAACTAAGTATCTTACTCTTCGCATTGGTAGGAGCAGACTGAATGAAGCTAAGGATGGTACAGAGAAGTTTCATTCTGGGCTGTCCATGATGCATTGGATAGCACGTCTATTGTAAATCCTTACCTTGAGCAGACATGACGGCGAGGCGAGGCGATAAGATAACGAACGATTGAACCATCGTTCTTTCGCATGCACTTCTTGACTAGTAGGACCAATTGATATTGAAAGGCTGCAATGCACATAATGTGATTGAGGAGACCGCGATCGGCTTATCGTCCGTTAAATGAATTTATCGCAGGTTGACAAGCGTTGGACCATCAGCGATGCAGGCAAGCACATTTCCAAACTCGTTGCTACATGAGGCTCCTAGCTGACTTGACCACAAAGCATGCTAGAGATGAGTTGAGTTCAACCGACCTCGAAAATTCGGAAGCACAAAAGTAGGCTCTCTCTTCTTGAAGTAAAAGGAGTACAAAGAGGCCGGGCAATAGAGCGAAGGTCCAATGCTTTGCAGTGTGTAACTTACTAGGTTTGGCGGTGGAGTGCGATGTCTTTCAGGCTATCTCAGGTATCTCAGTTATTTCTCCAGGTATTATAGTATATCCACCTCTTCCCTGTATTGTTAGCAAGGCAATTTCAACCCGTGCCTCTGAAGAATGTCGTCTACTCGTACTCCTACCAAAAAAACAATTGCATTAATCCTGCGGTGGTTTGTTTTACTCTAGCATCGGCCTTGGTGGAAAATGATGGCGTCATCGGTCCGAGTGGAGCGTTCGCTTTACGGCACACACGGACCGACCACCAACTACCGACTACGTAACACGCCTATTTAATGTATCATTGGTGCCTGTCGATGCAGCTGGAACCTAAGTTCTGACACCCTCTTGGCAGATAAGCCATTGCTTGGATCATCACGCCTTGCCTATTTGCCGGTGGGACGCTGTGACCTTGTCTACACGCACACCATGTTCTTCCTCACCTACCTCTACTACAAGCTCCTCGCCGTCTTTTTCAGGCGATACTTTGCCCGCAAACTCCCCAACGCCAGCCCCGATAAAGTCCTGCAAATCCAGTCGCGCGACGCCGAGCGAACGATCAAAGTCAACCTGTATCGCAACACATCGTCTCCCACCGCCAAACCCACACCGGTGCTGGTGAACTTCCATGGCAGCGGCTTCATCTTCCCGCGCCACGGCGCGGACGACCCCTTCTGTCGGCAGATGAGTCGAGAGACCGACCGGACCGTTCTCGATGTCCAGTACCGCCTCGCGCCCGAGCACCCTTTCCCCGCGGCGCTGAATGACGCGGAGGATGTGGTGCGGTGGGTGCTCAGCCAACCGGACAGATTCGACCTCAGCCGCGTCTCCCTGTCCGGGTTCAGCGCCGGCGGGAACTTCGCGCTGGCGGCGTCGGCGAATCTCTTCCCGCCGGAGACCTTCCACTCTGTGATCGCGGTCTACCCGGTCGTGGACATCCATACGGACCCTAGCCTGAAGGTGCCGCCCGATACGTCCGGGAAAGCGATTCCGCTCTTCATGTCGAGGTTCTTCGACGCATGTTACACGCACGGGGCGTTTGATACCAGGGATCCCCGGATCTCCCCGCTCTATGCGAGCCCGGACCGCTTCCCTGATCGCGTGATGATCGTGACGGCGGCGTGTGATAGCCTGGCGGTTGAGGCGGAGACCCTCGCCCAGAGGATCGCCAAGGAGCCCGGCAAAGAGCGCGAGGTGGTGCAAGTGCGTATGCAAGCTTGCGAGCACGGCTTTGATAAGCGGGCGTTGCCGGGCTCCGTCCAGTGGGATGCTAGAGAGAAGACATACGCAATGGCTGGGGCGATGCTATCGCGTTAGGGAAAGGAGGGCGAGAGAGTAGCTTTCTATCTCGAAGAATCACAGTCCGCATAGCAATTTTGTTTGAGATAAATTCGGAAAACAAAAAAATGTAATCTCATAATCCAATATTATTAATGGGGTGATAACCCGAAGATCGTACATATGGGGTCATGCAGGTCAGAATGCGGGAACAACTGGTGCGGTGAACTGCTGGAATGATGGTTGAGCCAGACTAAGACATCGTGCCATCCCCTCCTGCCTAGAAAAGCACTAAGCGGAGCTCAAGAAGCTCTCTAGAAGCCGTTAACCTGGGACGATCATGACACTATTTTCCTCCCCCTGTTAGAGTCTAGTACTGTCCTGGATAGTGTTCCCCAACGTCCATGACGGCGAGATTAAGAGATCTGGAGCAGTGGAACCTGGATGGTCAGGTGGTGTGCAGACGAGGGGAAATCTGAAGCGGCGGTGCCTGACGGTTGACTCCATCGGCCATGGGTTTGAAACCATGGCACGGTTCTGGGTAGCGCCGAGAAATCTGCAGCTGGCCCTGAACTTGCCCTGAACTTGCCCTGACCTGCCCTGAACTGACCTGCCCTATGCCCTATTCAGTGGCCCAATCCGGGCGGCTGTTACTTCCGACCATGGGCGAGTTACGGGTGTGCCTTGAATCGGCCAGCGGGCGTTGAACAACAATCCTCATTCAGCCTGGCAGTGGCAGCCAGGGCACGGGCAGCTGAGTCCCTCTAGCAAAGAGTAAGTTAACTAAGGTTCAGTCAGTCAATTCCCGATTTCCCCGACTTGCCGTGACAGCATTCTGACGGCTTTTCTCCTTTCCCCGGAATCACTTCCCTTCCTAGCACTGTCACTGTCACTGTCACTGTCACTGACTGCATCACTGCAGACGATCGATCATGCTTCAAAGATTAATCATAATTTTCTTTTCCCTTTTTTTTTTCTCCTTTTCTTTGACTTCGGATGCACGCAGGGACGCACGGTCTGATCACAACCAACTTACCCACTACTGAATTGACTGACCTATGGATGGACCGGAGGAATCAGGAATCATTCGGTCAGGCGGGTCGTGGGTCGCAATCCGCAATCATACTCAGTAACAATAATTATGAATGAATGAATAATATGGAACCCATGAATGACCGAAACAAAAGAACTGACCTACTCAGTACTAAGTTGGCAAGTTAGTCTACTCACCTGGCAGTCTACCACCTCCTACGGATACTTGAGGCCCAAATCAGGTTCCAGTCGCCTGCTTGTCCTGGCTTCCCAGTCCCTGGTGGTGCTTGCTCGCACAGTTGGCCCGCAGCAGCAGGAGTAATCTGCTCTCTCATTAGCCCACTTCTAGGTGATAGTCTGTCTCCTCATTCAATCCACGGTCTTTCTTGTTGTTCTCCTATTCTGCCAGCGGCGTGTTCCTTAGAGTCTCTTCCTCTCTCTCTCTCTCTCTTTCTGTCTCCCACCCAGTGTCTTGCTTGGTAACTTCCTTTGCCCCTCCCCGCAAGTCGGATGCTGCTCTTGGGCGCCTCCATCTCGTCCACCGTGCTTCTAGTACTGTGGACGAGTGTCTTAGCGTCTGGCGACTCGTGTCCCTGAAACTTCCGTCCGTCCCCCTTATTGTCTCTTATCGTCATTGTTTAATTTTTCTATATATCATTTTTCTACCCCTCACCACCACTTCTCTTCCTTCACCTGTTTCCGTGCCTCTCCGCAGCTTCACTTCTCCCGCACACACACACACACACATACAAGCTCCATGGGTGACTGTGAACAGAGCTCGTCTGCAATCGCATCATGGAGCACCCTAATTATGCAGAGATCGATGAGTCTCACTACCGCCGGGAGGTTCTCCAACTGCCTTCTGAGGAAGCCGAAACGGCGCAGGAGCAGAAACTGATCGATGAGGCCCGCCAGCTGGGTCTGAACGTCCCAGAGGTCGAGCTGGTCGCATCGTTGACCGCGTCCATCGCTTCTGGGATGGTGGATCTCTCCTCGTCCTCACCGATCATCTCGTCCACCAGATCCTCCACCGATCGCAACTCCGCATACGATATCACACCGTCCCACCAGACCACCGCAATCGATCTCCTCGGTTCGTCTCTCTCCGAATTCACTGTCTCCTCCGAGCCCATCCACAATGGTAGTGCTCGCTCGATCGCCTCACTGTCCACCCGACCGACCTCTTATAGCTCATGTGAGGGGAGACTGATCCCGGGGATAGATACGAATTTGGCCGCGGGGGCGCCGCCGAGCAACCGCCATTCGATGATCAGCGTGATCCCGAGCGACAAGAAGGAGAGACGGAAATCGACGCTGAAGTCGGCGATGGAGAAGATCCATTTTCGCAAGAAGCGGTCGCCGTCGGCCGTGCTCCTGCCTCCGGCGGCGCAAATCACTATCGCCAAGGGTAGTAAGGGAATCGAGCAGGTTCGGGTGGAATCCAAGCCGTCGGAGTCGCAGGAAGCCCGATCATCCGGCGACGGGAGCGGAGTGCTGCGGATTGAGATACCCGCGTTCGATCATGAGTCCTTACAGCGGAGTCAGAACGACGAGCAGCTGCGTCTCATGCGGGAGCGTCAAGTGATGGAGCTGAATCGACACAATCTCTTCCAGGATGCGTTCACGATGCGTCTTCGCCAAACTCAGCAGTCCATTGTTGCCGAACGACTTGCGGCGAACAAGGATCTTGAGGCGCAGAAACGCGAAAAGGTACGCCCTCGTACCACCTAACGAAACTCGTCATGCTAACATCTGTGAAGAACATCAACGACGCTGCTCGGATGGAAGAACGTCAACTGACGATCGAGATGGACCAGATGCGGGAGTTTGAACGGGCGAAGATGAATTCGCGAACCCGCATCAAACACATGGAGGGGTATTTCAATAATTCCAGTCCTCCCCCGTCGCCAGGAGGGGCAGGGTCAGGGCCGGAGACCACCCCCGCCCGCAAGTTCACTGCGCAACACAAGGCCCAGCTAGCGCAGGAGTACCACGACCACAAATCGATGGATCAGTTACACGAGGCCAAGATCAAAGTGCTCCGCGACCGACAGGAACTGCGATTGCAGGAGGCGATCGCCCGCATGGAACGAGAACTTGACGAGCTGATCGACAAACACGCTATAGAGTTTGCGCAAATGCAACAAGCCCATCAGCAGGAAGAGATGGCTGTCGTCCAGGCCTTCGATGCAAAGAAGGCCCGGTTGATACACCGATGGAACCTGGAAGAGGCCATTCTGCGGACCAAACTGGGGACGCAACACGGGAAGGTGTACGGACCCTTGCCCCCTTTATCCTTCAGCGACCCGAACTATGAGACGCGCGATTCGGCCATCTGTGTGGCCGAGCAGACCGGAGCTGCCAGCGCTTGAGGAGGAGGTGCACCCGGACGAAGAGAAGGGGACAGGTGCTTTGATTATGATGTGATGTCTACGTGATACCCTTTCCTTTATTTGCCCCGATTCTCGGATCTCCTCATGCATATATGCAGTCCCCCTAATGTGTCATATTCGGCCTTGGATGCCAACCCTATATCTTGTAATTACTTTTCCCGCCCTTTTTGACATTTGTTCTTGTTGAGTCGACTTGGTGCCGGCCTTATACATACATACATCATAGCGGATATACCTTGCCCTCATGTGCATAGCGCTGATTTTGGATATCCCTGGCTCCTTTTCAGCCTGATAGATTCATGGGCACTTGTTTGCTTGGTTTGTGACAGAATAATAGATACCAATTGATCTAGATACGATACAGCCTGAACGTGTGTAGGTATAAGAAAGGACTCGCTAAGAGGCAGCACATTAGAAGAAGAAAAAAGGGAAGACGAAGAAGAAGCGATCAGCATCACGCTTCCGACGCCGTCTGCGAAGCACCATCCCCAACCGAGGCAGCAGCAGCAGCAGCAGCAGCAGACCCCCTCAACTCAGACGCGTGTTTCCTCCACCGATCCAGCAAGGTCTCCAACCTCCCATTGCCCCCGGTCATGACCGCCTCCATCAACTTATCCCTCCCCGTGTCCCCCATCACGACCGCCCGCTCCACCAACCCCGCGTTGGAGATCTTGAACCGCCCGACCCGGCCATCCGCCCACTCGACGCGCACATAGACCGCCTCCAACGCGGTGGCCGCCAACGCGACGATCCCCAGATCATTCCTCGCGATCCTGGACTCCTGGTTCGGCTCTTCCGCCAGCACATCCCTCTCCCAGACTCCGTTCTCCTCGTCCGCGTCCGCGTCCTGCCCCTCGCCCCGTTTGACGACTCCCAGCCGCTCCCGCAGATACCGGACCCCATCACAACGGACATGCCACACGACCAGCTGCCGCCGCACCTCGCGCAGAAACCCCTTGAGATCCTGCTGCTTCTTCTTGTTGGGGCTGCGCTTCCACGGCTTGAGCTGCTCCCCCTCTTCTCCCCGGGCTGCATCCCCCCCCGCTCGCGGCAAATACACCCGCTCCAACGCCCCCACATCCACCACCGGGGGAACCGTGTGCCGATGCACGTACAGCACCCTCCCGCCCTTGCCCGTCCTCTCCTCCGCGTCGCTGCCCGTAGACAGGTGCAACACCCCCTTCCGCAGCAGAATGTAATACGGCTTGACGTACGACCCGTCCCGGGCGCAGATGTCAATCCGCAACCCTATCAGCTTCTTGGCCTCGGAGGGGACGGGCGAGGGCGACGGATCGGTGAAGGGGAAGGCGGTGGTGGAGAAGGCGATGCGGTGGTGGTTGAGGTCGGCGTGGAGGGCGGAGCTGTGGAGGAGCGGGGAGAGGTCGGTCCATTTTTGAGAGGATCTTGGGGCGGTTGCTGTTGTTTGGGATTGGGATTGGGATTTGGCGAGGCGTTGAAAGGGGCGCGAGGTCAGGAGGCTGTTTGTTAGGATGCGGCGGCGGTGGTGGAGGGTTTGGACTGTTTGGTGGGGGCGTTAGTTGGGGGTTTGGGATG